ACAATCATCAAAAAAGAATCTAAAAGATTACCGGACTCGAAACGGACTCGGACTCGGTCCTTAATGTTAGGGACTCGGACTCGGACTCGGAATAAATTTTTGAGGACTCGGACTCGGCTCGGACTCGGTCCCTCCCGGACTCGCCCATGCCTGGTTGTTGTCGTTCTCGTAAAGACTTGACTTTTTTTTCACGGTGGCACCATCAACAGAATGACTGAGAGTTAATTTGGTTTAGACCAAATTGTGTCACCTTTCCGAGCAGGTGAAGTTGCGTCACAATGAGTTAAAAATTAATCTGAGAAAAGGTAGTATTTTTTCGAGTTTATGAAAATGACAAAATGCAGAGTAATCTCAGAATGAAAGTGATGAATACAGCAGCTATTATCGTAATTTTAAAAGAAGAGCATTATGCAAAATGCTTATAACTTTTTAACGAAGATAGTTAGAGACCTGCAGTTTTCACCATTCGAAAGAGAAATCTTGGGGCCATAGCTTTTGTTAAATTTGATTGGCCAATCAGGTGAGCTCTTTGTCGACATTATGACAACAATATTCTGAATGCACTTCCCATTCGACTTTTACTTTCAATATAACTATTCAATAGAGAAAATTGTTCTCTTTCGATCTAGACAAAGCTGATATTTCTAGCTTCTTCCCTTCAAGAGTTATAAGGGCTTTCCTGTGGCCCCCGTCTTCGACCACTTAGCCTTGAATCATCCCCATAACAGTTAAGACAAGGGTAATTCACCACATTGAACCGAGCGGTGATGTTTTTTTAAAGAATGGATCTGATATTTTCACTCAAATCTTCACATAAAAAAGATAGCTGGCTCTCACATTGAAACAGTAGAATTTGTTTTTCCAACTTATTACACATAGTTGGATAGAGCGCATCAAGTGGGTTAAGAATACTTATTTTTTAATTTTTGAAAAAATCTTTTTCAGAGTAAAACATTTTAAAAACTTGGAGAAAGTAAAACTTCGCAAAACCTTCGAGGTCAAAAAACATTCAAACTTTCGTCGTCTTCGTTAGTTTGAATTTTTCAAAGTGTTTATTTCTTCTTTAGAATCAAAAATTGATGAGGGAAGCATGGTGTTGAATCACTTTTAAATATAAAAACCTGTCGGTATAGCTATCAGAAACGAATTTCCTAAAATACCGCTAAGCAGTTTTATAAACCTATTTAGTTTTTTCACCGCCCTGTATAAATAAAACAAAAAAGCTAAAAATAAAAGAAAAATAACATCAAAGAGAGGATAGAAAAGTGGTAGTTTTTAAACTTCTTAACTAAACTCTTATGCTGTTAGATACCGCGAAACTTAACTAGGTTTTCACAGAGGCCAAAAAACTGGTGCGTCTCGAGGAGATATTTATATATAAGACATGCGAACACGCTGACTTCGAACATATAAAAAGCTTGCAGATCGTTTCTTTTATAAAACAACATCAAGTTTTAATATTTGTTGAATGATAAAGAATCCGAATTTACCCTAACTATTACTCGTAACCTCGTCGATTCGAACAAATGTAGTAACTACTTGAAATCGATCAACAACAAAGCCAACGATGGAAACTCATGAAGATCCATGTCATGAGACAGAAGTCTGTTTCAAAATGCTTCGTGCTCAAAATAAAAGAAAGTTTTCAGAATACAAGATCTGTCTGAACGAGAACACATGTAAGAGATATCTTAGGAGAACTGACCTAGCCAAAATGAATCAATAGTATGTATAAATGCCCGTGTCCAATCATAGACTTTACATTATCCTAAGATCTGCTTTTATGTAATATGTTAGCAAATAAAAGATTAAAAGCAAGCGTCTAGACACATGAGATACTTTCTATCACTTGCTGAAATTGCTAGAACGGACAAAGTTTACCTTTGAAATCAGCTGTTGAAAACTGACTATTATTATAACACAACAATGCTGAGCCTTAAACTGGAGCATAGTTTTGTACTATATTTATATTTGGTAGATTATACTGTGGTGTAAAATTCTCTTTGTTGAATGATTACGTGGATTATAAATAAAGTGAACTATCGTTGCACCGGCATCAGTGATGCCGGTGCAACGTATCTTTTTTTTCATATCTTGAAAAATCCTACTTGAGCGCTGTTTCTCTCTGATTAGAGATTAATGAATGTGCAGATTTCAGAAAGTGTTTTAGAAGTTGACTTCAGATACTATCTCATCCGTACTTAAACACCAAAGTTAATCTCGAACTTTCTACTTTCTATTCAAACTGCGCACAAGCAAACATTTTTTTGCCATTAGATATGCGATCAAAAACGCAAAACTTTTTGTAACGAACGTTTTTGAGTTTAATGACATGAACTTAACTGCCACCGCTAAAAGTGATTGTATTTCTACAGTTCCTGCATAAATAGGGTTCAAAATAAAATGCATAGGTGGAGTAATTAGTTTATTTTTGTGTCACTATTTCTGGACTCTTTCTTCGAAAGGCAGTTCTGGTTCCGGTCGTGTAATTTTTATAGGAACTACTCACTCTGCTATTCGCCTCAATGAGAGACTTCGTCAATTCATTTTTCGTATATTAGATTTGATAAACAACTAGCCATCATCGAGAGCCAAGTGCACAGTTAATGTTATCGTAAAGAAATTATCTCGTCAAACACAATCAGTCGAATATGAAAGCGAAAATCAAATAACAATAGACTGAACATTTTAACAACAAATTTGATTGAATAGTGCTTACAAGAGACAGATAAAAAAATCTTGAATTATTGGCATTTATCTCATTAACATATCTGTTTCAACACTACTGTTAATTGTAATGTTCTCAAGAACTAGGATGTGAGTATTGTGATGCATGATGTTGATCATTCTTTTCACGACATTGTCGACCATGTCTACAAGGTATCATCGACTTTGAATCGTGTTGATAATTTTGCTTTTGTTTCGATGCCGATGGTTGTTCGGAAGATTTTCCTAGACAGATCATAGGTTCGATTAGACGATAGGAGAGAGAGAGAGCGAAGCGCAAGCTAACCTGAAGACGCATCGCCTGGTATGGGCACTTGTTCGCCATGGGAATATAATTGTCGATGTTTCGATGATTTGTCCTTACAATTTTGATGATAGCGACAAGGAATGAAGAAATCGGGCATATTCGAATGGCGATATGAGGCACGATGAACTGGATTTTCGAGTTCACGGCATGATCTATCGTATTGACATTTGAGTACTTTGTGCGGTGCATGAGTGAGATGCGGTTCATTTTGCATATTTTGACAGAGTTCGGAATAACGACATGGATGAGAATATTTAGTGGTGTGCTCGGGCAATTCACGTTCAACACAATTAACAGAATAGCCACAAGGTGACAGTGAAGGCGAGGAGAAAGGAGCACAGACGGCATTGACGATTTTTGATATGATTCCTTCTTTCTTTTTTTCGGATGTGGCACTGGTTGCTTTACTATCTGAAGAAGGGTCGGTTGAAGTAGGAGGAACAGCTGTACCATCTTTCTTGAACTTGGTATCAAAGGATGGATGCAGGTCGGCGTTGGGTTCATGTCGAATGACCATATTCTTAACAGGTATCGTTCCATTACCAGCACTGACATGAACAAAGTCCAGTTTGGAAAGATCGAATTCACCCTTCTGAAATTTTGCCGTGATGACTTCATGGTTATAGATACTGTTCGAACCAGCATGAGACAAAGAGACTCGACCTTGAAGATATTCGATTTTTAAACAAAATGTAAGATAATCATCCGTATTACAGCCACGATAGAAGCGACACGAACCGTCCTTAAATTTGGATTCCCGCGAAATAACGGAATGTTTGAGCGGATGATCATTACTCAGATAAGAATAGGATTCATGATAATCGCGCGAAGTCATCAATGGTGCTTCGGCTACATAGCATATCAGGCAACGAAGGTTCGGTTGCTCTTGCGTGCAATCGATCGGTTCATTGGAGATAGTTACCATCATGTCGCCATGCATGGCTTGCCAATAGATCAGAGTCACTTCTGGTTGATGAGAAGCTCGCGTTCCTGATTTGTTATGATTGAAAAGATTGTACGATTGTGTGATCGTCATGGGTAGAGGAATATGCTCGTAGAATGAAGAGGATGCTAACGTGATCATCATGCCTCGTGAAAGTGGAGGTTTGCTGATATTGTGTTCGATTCGTTTGATCAATTCAGCGTACACGAACGATTCGTATGCTTTTCCTGTTTTGTTCGAAATGGTTAATGCACGACGAAAAATAGTTTTTGCTGATTGTTGAGCTTCCGGTGTCAGAGAATCAAAGACAGTTTGAGGCATGTAAACATGATCAATATAATCGAGTGGAACCAGTTGGGGCAGGTGACCCTCGAAGACCGTATGAGATTCGGCTATGGACCACCACTTTATAATCGCTTTGAGATCCACATCGATCGTTTTCTTATCTTGGCCTGTCAATGCCATGACTTGAAGAGCTGCGGCTGTTTCATAACCAGGAATTGAACAATGCAGTTTTGATGCATGAAAGTTTTTTACACGATCATCTTTTTGACCAGGATCTTGAAGCCACGGACGCCATTGATACGCATTACCGCTATGAAACGAAGTACCGGCTTGGATGGAAAAATTGGCATCAGGATGAAACATCAGTTCTTGTTTGAAGACAAGAACGATCTCGCCATAGTTCTCGCCTCGATGTGGACCAACAATGCTGAAGATATGTTTGTCCGTACTAAGAGCTGTGTCCGGAATGTAGCCGATACCCATCGGATCTTGACGTAAATTGAGTGAAGCCTGTGCAATAGCTTTGGCACAAGACTTGATTCTGTGCATATCGCTTTGATCGAGAACTTTCCTCAAAATATTTTCTTTCATTTGAATTATATACTGATGATCGGAGCTGCTACTAGTAGTGGTTGTAGCCATGGCCATCGGCGCAATTGCAGCCTCTGTCGACTGGGCTTTTTTATCGAATTCCAGACTGACGATCGCTTGAACCAAATCTCGACAGTGACTTTCCGAAGTGGGATTGTTTAGACGTTTGAATACGTGACGAACAAGTCCGTGTTGAACGACGGCATTGGTCACGAAACGAGGTTCTCCCAAGAGATTCATCTGTCCACGACTCATCAAATGATTGTGAACGAGAATCGACTCAAATATGATCTTTCGACATCGATGAATGGGCTCGAGCGCTCGAATCCAATTACGAATCTCGGGCGAGATCATTGCTGGTCTGTGCCATTTTTGACCATCAATATAAGCATTCAATACTTTCGACATCTCACTCTGATTGCGTAGGAACTTCGTGAGCTTATTCAATGCGAAATAACGTACGATACCGTCGTAATCATGATTTCTGGCGTGCCGATAACGATGCCGATGTTCGATCTTGTATCGGTCGCGGCATTCATAACCGGGATAACTACAAAACAGTCGAATATCGCGAATTTTCGGATGAGAGAAGGAATTCAAATGTTCTTCATTGGTCATTTCCGTACATCGATCCTGGTAGGGACACATCTGTCGTGGAATGTGAATAGATATTTGAGCATGTGATTCTGTCGTGTCATTACATTCTCGTCCGAAAGGACAAACATGAGCATATGTTAGACAATGGGTACGAATGTGAGATGGAGTAGCCTGCGGATTTTTACTTTGAATAAAGTCAATGTGCAATTGGCAATGAAATGGAGTAAATGGACATGGTGGTGGGAAAGGATGATCCTGATCCTGTAGGTGTTTTTCATCGTGAAAATTGGCACAGAAACCACCGTGTGGACATTTCAGTCGACAATGACGATAAGCTCGGCGATGTTCGTATACACAGTCCAGATACTGCGTGCATTTCAGACCATCTTTACACAGTGGCACATGTCGACAGGCGATTAGATGTTCTTGATGCATGTCAGCACAGGCACCGCCGCCAGAACAAAAGTCCGGATGGTCATATTGATTGGCATGTTTTTCGTCTTTGATCTTCTCACATTCACCTCCATCGCGACATTTGGTACGATGAATGAAGGAAAACATATGAACATCGTCGTACGTATTTTCGCAATCGGGTTGATAGGGACAGACCGATGGATGGGAAAAGGATTTAGCGTGCTGAGCATCGTACAAGTCATGACATTTGGCACCGTATTTACAAGGCGTCAACTCGAAAATGTGTACATCACTTAAATCGAGCTGGCCATCAGATCCGACGTTGTTTAACAATCGAAAAGGTCCGCTGACCATATTGGCCAATTTGAGATTCCGTGAACTCACCACAAGGCCGTCGAGTGCGCTTTGAAATGGTAGAAAATTACCTTGAGGATTCAACTGATTGCCAGTATTGTGATCGTCGATGATGGCAAAATGAATGCTTCGAAAGTAGCCCGCATATTGATAAATGACCGATTTGAAGAGTAAGGCCACATGTTGAGGTGGATTTTTGAAAGCACCACATCCGAGGGCAGAAAGAACCAAGCAGTCATGATTTTGATGATAAGCAATGGCAAATATATTTTCGATTTTTCTCCGCATACCAGCAGCAGCTCTCCCTGTAAGCATCTGATTCTCCAATTTGGGCTCGCGAAAGGCAGCCATAGCGATGGCACATACATTGTAGACAGGTTCATCCAAGAAAGCGTAGCCTCGATCTTCTGAATCACGAAAAACGATGATGCCCGATGTGTAAACGGCTCCAAAGTCATCCATTGGATACATGTGATCGTTCTTCGAAATCGATTTCAATTGGCCATCCGCTGCAGATTGAAATCGTTCGCTTCGATTGGATTCGTCCATTTCTACATCAAGACTGAGGCAGTAGTTCGAGCGACGAAAGGTATTCTCTTCTTGTGCTCCATCACCGCGTCGATATCCACCACCAGCTGATGTCTGATTGGCCATATTGAGAACAAGAGGACGTCGACCGCTCGATGCTAACTGTTGATAAACAGCCAGACAATCGCGATTGATCACTTCCACAGTGGTCGACGGAAATTTCGTGATGTAACTTGCACTAGATATTTTTCTAGCGGAGAACAACTTCGATTGATGGTTATACGTGATAGTTTTCAATGGTTCATCACGTAATTTGATTTCTTTGTTGTCATCAAGCTTATAACTTTTCTTGCGAATGGCGCCGATAGTATTGAGCATCGCTGTCACACGTAAGAGATGCCGTATTCGATTTAGATTTTGACCCGACTGATTCGCCACATCCGCCTTTTGAAATTGTTCATGCCAAATTTTCGAGTTCCATTTGTAGCGAAATATGGGATCCTGACGGTTGACAACGAATGGCATTATATCCGGCTTGTAATCGAGCATACGTGTTTCGTACCAGTTTTCGACGGTAATTTCGCTACCTTCCGGATCATTTAATGCTGAATAGGCTTTGAGGAGTATTTTATGATGATCGACACGTAGAGCACCAATCGTCAAAATGTCTTCGTACACGTTTCGATCGTTCAATTCTAAAACGAGACTCTCTTCTTTTCGGCTATAATTGACAATACCAGTGTGGAACAAATGATGTTGTAGAATTGACTGAAGAGGGCAATCATGTGGGACAGGTTGAAGGAGAAGTCGATAGGCCGTATGTGCTTTTTTGGTCAAAACTAGAGTGCCAATACAGAGAGTAGTTTCATGAATCCATTTTCGTGCTTGATCAGCGGCGAGAACGATGGCATTTCTGGCATCTCGGTTGCATTGGACGTAGAGTGACGAGGCCGGTGATGTGGTTAGTCCGATCCGCCTGGCAATAGCAGAAAATAAGTCCTCTTGACTAAGCGTTGCCGGCAAATCTTCAAAGTAACTACAATCGGCTCGAAAATAAACTGTCGCAAATTCATTGTTCACAGCGAAATCACTAATAGTCGATGCTTGAAGTAGATCATCGAAGGACGTAAAAACAATACGAAATATGTTAGGAAAAAGAACTGAGATCGGTTGGCATTGTTCTGGTCGAGCAGTCTTGTACACTTGTATCCAACGTTGTAAAACTTCATTTTTTGTTGGTATCGTTTTCAGTTTTGCATCAAAGACTATGTAGGAAACCAGTTCGACAGCATCTGTGAAGGAAATGGCGGTAGAATCTGGTGGATTCAGAACAATCGATTGAATATTAGAAACAAGATGTCTCTTGTCGGCATGGCTCTGTACGCGCAAGATACCCACGCTGAATCGCGAATAACATTTGATATCAATTACGGTGACCTGAGGATCATTATCTAGTCGATGACGAATCATCTGCTCCAGCTGCACATCAGATTTGTCTGCCGGTAAATCGGGAATGTATATCGTGAATATCTCAAGGTGGGTGGGTGTAGATACGGAACTCTTCGGAATGGTGGATGGAGAAGACGAGTGCATATTTGTACTTTCCGTGGCAGAACGAGCCGCATCTATATTTGGTGATGAGAATTGCGATTTTGAGTAGGGGGGCATCGTTGTCGGATAGGGCTGTCGAACGCTCTCTTCGGAAGGGGAATGACGCCTTCTTTGTGATGAAAATGACTCTTGTGACGGTGATCGATGCCGGACCCGATGCTCGTTCGCAGGCAGAATGGGCCGTATGGTCGGACGTTTGCCTTCTTTACAGATAATACAAGTTCTATCGGAGCCCAGGTTCAGGTATGTACATGAGGAGCAGAACCATTCGTCCCGTGGCTCAGCCTCAGTCGACCTGACCGAAGGTTCTTCACGGCGAAACTCAATTGTCTCTTGACCATTCGATTGAAACGGCTGTGTTTTGAGGTTGGAAGAATCACTCACGCTCGCACTAGCAGATACAGAAGGACGTGGGAGCTCGCACACTTCACAAATGCTAGCAGACGGCTTATTCAGTAGAGTACATCTTTCACAAGTCCATTCATTGCTATCTTTACATGCTGATGCTGAAGCAGAAGCTTGGCTGGATGGTTTTTTCAAATCCTAGAACGAGAAATATTCAGTCAGGCACAAATGCCTAAGCAGTGCATCTCTTATCACTCAGAGAATTAGAACTGCTCAAATACCTATTTTCTGTTCAACTATTTTTTCATACGCACCTTTTCTTCTTTGCCACTGGCTGCTGCATATCCAGTCGCTCCCTGATCGTTTACGCTAAAGTTAGAGGCTAATGCCGACAACCATCGACGACACAAAGGACACTCAGCGTTGCCAGCTTCAATGTTCTTTCGAACACATTCTAAATGAAACCGATGATTACATTCCGTTGAGATATGCAACGTTCGACTGAGCGGCGTGAGGCAGACTGCACACTGATCATTATCGTCGTTCGTTTTCGACATAGTTCCTCCGTGAAATCAAGCTTGAAGTCGACTCGGTTAGAAATGGGTTATATGCAATTTGATTAGCGTTTCACAGGAAACTCAGTGAAAAAAGTCGTAACATAAGAATTTCATTGCACGCAGCAGATAATATACGTTACACGATGGAAAAAATCATGCGTATTACTCAAGAAGAGAGAAAATGAAGAAAAAGAAAAAAGCGTAAAAAAGATAAAGGAGGTAAATGGATCTTTTCGTTAGCTGAAGGAGGAAAAATATTTATGTTTGGCTTCTGTGTGTCATGAGGAGACAGTGGAATCGTGAGTCACAACCTGGAAAATTCCCACTAAATTGCAATGTCATCAACCAAAGTCTTCGACACCTGTTGTGCACATAGCCAAGGCAGTTTTGCACGTCAATGACTTCTTTGGCATAATCTCCAAGTTATTTCATTTTTGTGAAACTGCCTCAAAGTCCGAAGAAGACGGAGTTTCAGTTTTATACTCAAAAATCGCTGTTATCACGGGTTTTTTGAACCTTCTTCAAATCTGATATCATTTTCGGTCATAACCTCTAAAAATTGCGATCACAACCTCTGAAACTGGCGGTCACTACCACTTAGGTTGGTCACAACGTCTTACGTACCTATCTAATACCGAATGATACCGGGGGAATGTTTTTTAGGCGGTCACAACCTCTTACTCAGTCGGTCACAATGTTTTAACGAGTCGTTGTTGCTCATTTTGTGAAAACTTGCTAGGACTTGTCCGTTTTCCGAAGGAAAAGGAACTTCGAAGTATAAAGGAACTTTTGAAGTTTATATACGAGGATTTTTATGGTTTGTAGAGCGTTTTTTTCAGTAGCTGTAAACTTTCGGCGTGAAAATGTGATTGTTCAAATTTCAATGTAAGTTTGGTGTTTAGCGCTACTGAAATATCTGTTTACAGCTACTGAAATGTGTGTTGACAGCTACTGAAATGACGCAGAAGCAACGCTGACAACCTATTTAAAATCTGATATCATTTCCAGTCACAACCTCTTAAACTGGTGGTCACAATCACTTACGTCTGTCACAACCTCTGAAGAACCGTGGTATATCGCTGGTGTTTCTCAGGTTTTTATTCAACGCTTCGTATTAAATATGACTACCGAATCAGCTGATCTATAGTGCGCTAATGTGTACCCTCACCCTACCCTAAGAAGTTTCTAATTGTCTAGAAATTTTGTGAGAAAAATTAAAAGTGTAAAACCTTTAAACAACTGTAAAAATTCAAGAATAATGACATTTGATATAAGTACTATTCAAGTCCATAAGCAAAGTAAACAATTGAAACTGTCTTACAGCAATCCGAGAATGTCGAGGATGTACAGAGTCGCACACGGACATAACTACTTTAGTAGTATCAATAAGACGAATTTTGATATTTTTCAGATCAAGAATGGTCCCAAATTCCTTTTTTTATCTAGAATAACTTTCTTCAAACTAGCATTATGCGCTGGTATGTTTATCTTGACAAATAATAACAGATCAGTGGTATCTGTAGCGCCTATAACTTGGAAACTCCTCAACCAAATCGATTCATTTTCAAATTAATAAAATGTCTTTGTCGTACAAAGATACACACCAAATTCAGTTGCTTGGTAGAATGAGAGAGATTCGAGAGGGAATTGTTGAATGCACAGAATGATAAAATGAAACTTGAGAGTTGAGTGTTTAAAGTTATTCAAAGAAGAAAACAAGAATCTGAACTGTGAAACTAAACTAATAATTGAATAATACACTTACGCTGCTCAATACAGAAATTTTGTTATCTTTGCTATCATTTAACTTTTCGATTTTGCAGAGACAGTTATCGATATCATCGTCATTCATTTTTGACTGTAATTGCACTTTTAAGATCGAACAATATGGCTCGGTACGATATAGCAATGGTAAATATTTC